GCCTCCGGCGCCGGCGGCGGCGCCCGGCGCTGCTGCCGCCGCTGCCCGCCCCCTGGGGCGGACGCAGCCTTGCCCGCCGCCGCCGCTGCCGCCGCCGCCGCAGCTGCCCCCACCGGCCTGGGCGGCGGCGAGTCGTAAGGATTCGACGCCCGCGGCCCCCTCTGCTGCAGGACCCCTTTGTACCCCGGCTCGTGAGAGGACGGAAATGTGGGCATGTCCTGGGCCCGCTTGGGGTACGGCTTCTCTGAAAAGTAGGGGTGCTGCAGCGCCGCCCGTGCGGAGAGGCGGCGCGTGGGGTCGTAAGTGAGCAGGCCGTTGAGCAGGGACAGGCCAGAGTCCCCGATTGCGGGGAAGGCGCGCCGCAGGTTGTTGTAGGGCTGCGGCGGCAGGCGCGCCTCGGTGGCGCCCGGCAGGTCAAACATGCCCTGGGGCGCGAGAGGGGAGGAAGACGGGGTGAACATGTGTTGGTGCGTACACATGCGCGCGCCAAGCGTGCAGGCAAACATGTGTGTGTGAGGGGGGTACAGCGTCTGCTTGTGCATGCACACGCGCGCTGATGTTTCCACGAGTGATTCGACAACTTCCAACTGACTTTAGCGCATGCAATCGTGTGGGCAGAGGTTATCAAGTGAGGCTGGGCAACAGATCGCGCCAGGCGGGACAAAAGCGCGCTGGAGGCCTTCCATGGCTGCAAGTCGCTCCAGATGCACCCACCGGCCAAATGCGCTCAGATGGCGCCCCCAGCAGGCGGCACTGCATGTCGAGGCACTCGCGCTCGCTCTGGGGTTGATGGGTGCAGGGGGTGCCGGCGGTGGGGCGTGGGGGTAGGGATGGTGGCGGCGGTGGTGGTGGTGAGGTGGGTGGGTTGGTCACGTGCGGTGGTGGCCGATGGTAGTGCCAAGGACGCAGGGAGGGGGCAGTTCATGTGTGCAGGCTGCTGCTAAGGGCGGCCCGCGACGTGGGCAACCAGACTGAGCACGCAGATGCGCGATGATAGGGTCAGCCGTCGGGGATCCGGGTCAGGGCGGCGGCAAGGGGGAGCGCGCGCCAGCCAGGCGGCGGCGCCGTCGCCCGCACCGCACCTGGGCCGGGAATAGGGGCTCGTGCTTGAGCAGCTCTCCCACCACACACCCTACCGCCCTGAAGGCACCCACGGGGGGAGGCGGCAGTCGTGCATCCGGCCAGGGGCAAAAGGTGCGGCGGCACATGGTGGATGCGAACAGCACAACCTGCTGCCGCTGCAACAAGACTGGCCCGGACGCAGCGCGAAGAGCACAGGCGTCCCCTGCCTCTCTCTCTACCAAAAGTTCAGCAACTGGCATTAACAGCCAGCCTGCAAAGATGCCCCCAGCGCTGCAACGCACAGATCAACAGAAAATCTCCTCTCGGCAGTGCCTGGTTGTGTGTAGCAACGCACACCCCCAGCCCGGGGACAGCATGCGCGGTGCGGGGCTTCACACACGGCCAACACACGCGCGCGCGCGCACGCACGCACACACACACACACACACACACACACACACACACACACTCACGCCCGCCCACCAGCAGTCCACCGCCTCAGAGTACTCATCAGCGCCCAGCAGCAGCTCTGGGGCGCGGTACCAGAGGGTGACAACGCGCGGCGTCAGCGCCCGCCCGCGAGGGACCACGTGCCTGGAGGAGGGCGGGCAGGTGAGTTGAGGGTCTGAGGGGCGTCCCGCGCGTGTGCGTTTGACGCGCCTGGGGCGGGCGGCGGGGTCGGAAGTTTGACAAGCTGCGGCCGCGTATGCTTGCCAGGAGCGGGGCAAAAGGGGGGTGTGAGCTTGAGCTGCCGCCTGCAAAGGCCAACTCAACGGCTGAGGCGTCCTGAGCGGAACGCTGCAATTAACAAGCGACGGGGACATACGTCGGGCACCGCCTCAAGCCGTCGCCCCAGCCCGCGCGCTTCTCGAACGATTTCATGAGTGCAAACGCCTCCTGTGAACCAGCGCCGCTCTATCTCCTCTTGAGCGCTGACTCAGGAGGCAAAAGAAAAGGGACCTGTTGTGCAGCCAAGCCGTGCCGACGCCCGATTGCGTGGCGCGGGGCCGCCCTGGGCCGGCAGGCGAGCGGGCAAACCTTGCGAGTCCAAAGTCGCAGAGCTTGAGCGTGCCCTCTGAGGTGTAGAGCAGGTTGGAGAGCTTGATGTCGCGGTGGAGCACGCCGCGGCCGTGGAGGTAGGCGACCGCCTGCAGCAGCTGCCGCACCAGGCACTTGACCTGGCGGGGGCGTTGAGGGGCGTGGCTGTGGGACAAGGTTGTGGGGCATGGATGCGGCAGGTGACGGGAGGCTGTGGGGAGGTGGGAAAGGTTGCTGGGGGATGGAGCCCGGCCTTGGGCGGATCAAAGGCTGGCGTATAGCACGGCTGCGCCCAAACCTGGGGTTTTGAGATCAGTCCTGGATCTGCGACTGACTGTGGGCCTGACCACAGGCTCCCCCTCGTCCGCTGGCGCGGTGGCACGATCACACGTGCACAGGTGCCACGTCGGCCCGGGCCTCCATCACCAGTAGCGCCCGCCGCCTCGACCCCTGCACGCCTCCCCCTTCCCTGCCCCCGTAAAAACCAACCCCACCAACCGGCGCCTTCTGCGGCGTGGCAGGCCCCGCACCTCGCTCTCAGTGAAGGGCGTGGGCATGGAGTCCAGCAGGCGGCCCAGGTCGTGGGCTGCATAGTCAAACACCAGGAAGATGCTGTCGTGCTTGCTGCCGGTCACAACACGCTGCGGGGGCGGGCACGGCGGTAGAAGGGTGGGCGAGGGCGAAATGGGCAGATTGGATGGAGGGTGGGTCAAGTGGGGGACTTGAGGGTGGGGTGTTTGGGGGGGAGGAGAAGGGTTTGGGAACAGGAGGGGTTGCAGAAGTGGGGGTCACAGCTCGAGCTGGACAGGTAGTCTGAGAGGAGGTGGGAGCTGGGTGGGGGAGGCGGTAAGGGCGCAGTTGGAACAGGAATTGAGTGCGGGGGCGGGAAGAAGAGAGCAGTGGGCGCGCCATGCGGGTGCTAGCGGCGACGGCGGCGGCGGCGACGTGCTGGGCACTGAGCTGAAGCTCTTTTGGCCGCCTGGGCCGAGATGAGAGGTTGGGCCGTGCATGCAGTAACGATCATGCATTAATGATCATGCAATAGTGATCATGGGCGGATTCGCAGTATCCATGAGCATTTTCGTCGCAGCTGCGGGGCCGGGGGGCTTCGTGGGCGTGAGCGGCCATTGTGGCGCCGCGTGCAGGTTGCCCCAGGATGACTCACCTCCAGGTGCACTATGTTTGGGTGCCTGCACTGCTGCAGAATACGTAGCTCGCGTATGCTGGTGACAGGAACGCCCTCCCTGTGCGTTCGAGAAGGGGGCGCCATGGGTGGCTGGATGAGGCGTTAATGAGGGGGCATGGGTGAGATTGGGGGCTGGGGGCTGGTGTGTGCTGCAGGCCACAGCCTGCAACTGTTGCATGCGGGCAGCGCTGGCCTGCATGCGGCGCGACGAGCGGCCGCCTCGCCGGAGCGCCCTGCAGCGCCGCGGCTGGGCGGCGGCGCACCCATCATCGCTCGTTCAAGGGGGGGCCCGCGGCCGCAGCTCACCCCCCTGCAGTGTCCCGGCCCACCTGGACCTCTCAAAGCGGACCTTCTTGAGCGCGACGACGCGGCCGCTGGGCAGGTGCCGCGCCTTGTACACCACCCCTGTGCCCGCAACGCGAGGGGACCGCGGCGGCTCGGCAGCTTGGCGGCTTGGCGGCGCGGCGCGGCCCATGTGATCTCAAGATCAAGCCATTCTGCGCTGAATTCTGCCGATGGCAGGGAGGGTTTCAGGTCAAGCAAGCCCCCAGTGTACATGGGGAGGGTGCACACCGTAGGTTCCCTCCCCTATGCGGTGCAGCTTCTCGTATTCGTCATGCACTGGGTCCAGCACGGGCAGCGGCGGCTCCTCCGAGGGCTGGGCCTCGTGTCGCCGATCACGCTGCTCCGGCCCCTCCTGCCGCGGCTGCTGGTGCTGCGGCTGCTGGTGCTGCTGCGGCTGCGCGTGCTGCTGTCCGTCCTTTCGCCTCCCTTGCGGCTGGCAACGGGATGCCTCCATAGGCAAATACTGCAGGGGCTGCTGTGCTATCATTCGCTGTGCCGCCTCACCCCCTGCCTGGATGGCCGCCCAGACTGGCTAAGGCGGGGCGTTTGGGGGATGCACCGTGCGCGATGGCGCCGTGCATACAGGGCTAGGGCACGGGCACAGTCATACAGCAGTCCATTTTTAGTTCATCTTGGGTGCACATGAGACCTGCATGCTATTGTGTTCAAGCACGAGTGCCACTTGAGTGATTTGAGTGAGTGCCACTGAGGAGAAGCAACGCAGGGTGGTACCGTACTTGATCCTTGGGCCAGGTCGCTTGCTCATTAACAAAACGCATAAGCTGTTGCAATAGAAACTGCCAAGATCATCAATCAAAAAGCAGTAGACAACAGTTCCCAACCGGACAGCACAGGATGTACGACTTTTCTTTCTCCGTGCCTTGGGGGGTGAGTCTCTGTAACGTGTGCATGCCCCCATTGTAGCAGCCTGCTCAACTCGGAACGACTCGAGCACGCTTGCTTTGCTCGCGCAGCTCGCCTCCATCATCAGCGGGATCGTGGGTCTGTCGCGTCACAATGACCAGTCGTATGGTAAGGATGCCCTCCGGGCCCCATGCCGCGTATTGGGGGCGAGGCGGTCGTGTCAAGGAGCCGGACCGCGGCTGCTGTGTCTTGCGCCACCTGGGATGCGACGGCGGTCACGCAGCCGAGCGAGCCCATATCCACCCAGCTGGCTGCAACATGACGCCTACTTCTGCAGGCATCGTCATCCTTAGCGGCATCCTGTTCATCGGCTTGTCGGTGCGGAGCATCAAGCGCTTTTTCAGGGGCCAGCTGTCGCCTGATGGCGTGATTGTGAAGCTTGGTGAGTTCGGGCAAAGTGCCGTGTTGGGCCAAGTACACGGGAAAGGATGGGATGGCAATCATCGGCCCATGCACACGTTCCTCCATGCGCGGGTGGTGGAGGAATCGGGGGCGGGGAGGCAGGGGGGCGGGCGAGCGCACATGCATTGCGCCGAAGGCATGCATGCAGCCCAGGCGGCCCCGTGGGGGAGGAAGGGGGGATAGCCCCAGGCAGGCATGCGGCGGTGAGCAGGGCGTGCGGTCGCTGCCCGTGTAGGGGCCCATGGCAGTACCCCTGGGGCGTTGCTTCCAGCCTGGGGTTCCTCAGCCTCAGGGAGCTTGATTCTCATCCAAGTAAAAACTCACACATCCACCCTGCCCCCCCCCCACTGGTGCTGTCCCGCCAGCCGTCACATCGGGCCTGACGTACTGGACGTACCGGCGGTACGAGGCGACTAAGGACGTGCATCCCGCGGGCGCGCTGGCGGCGATGGGGTGCGCGGGGCGGCGATTGCAGCGCCTCCGGTTGCATTGGATGCTAGGGGCGCGGCGCTGTCTAAGGGTGGCGGGGGTGGGCGGGCGGCTGGACTCGCCGGCGCAGGCATCCTGGTTATATACATGCAGCGAGGCGAGGCGCGGCGGTGGGGGAGGAGCGCGCCAGCAGGGAGGCGTGTCGCAGCAGCACGCCTGTCGCCACAGCGGCAGCAAGCGCGTGCCTTGCGCCGTCGTAGAAGCAGTCAAATTCTGGGGATTGGGGCGCTGAGCCCCGCGGGCAAGGACAGCCTCCAGACCGCATGTGTGTGTGTGTGCGCGCGCGCGCGTGTGTGTGTGTGTGTGTGTGTGTGTGTGTGTGTGTGTGTGTGTGTGTGTGCGCGCTTGCGTTGTCGCTCCTCAATCCCAGCAGCCATGTATCAGCCGGCACTGCCCCGTGCTGCAATCGCGCACCGGCACCTCTCAGCCTCCCCCCTGATACTCACACTCATTACCCGCCCCTGCCAACCCTGCACCGCCCTCCAGGGCGTTCATGATCCTGTTTTATGTCTGGAACCTCTTCTTCGGCCCTGCGCCCCTGGACCCGCCGCCGCCCTACACCGCCCCCAAGAAGCGCCAGTAGAGCCCCAGACTGGGGCGCGCCATGGAACGCGCCGCCTCCCTCCCCCCTCCGACGGCCGCTGCGCCAAGGCGGCCGCTGCGGCGTCTAGATTAGCTGGCACGCACGCTTTGCTGCACACGACGCGCTTACTACGAAATAATGTCTCGCACCAATCTCAAGAACCGCCGTTGCATTGGCCGCGACACCTGACTCCGGCCGCCGCTGCGCCGGCCCCGCGGGGCTTGTGCGACCCCGGGCCCGCCGCCGGCGCAGAGCCCGCCATCACATTCGTGTGCGATGCGATGGGCTGCATAAGGTGTAACGCGCCGGCCCACCAATTGCGGACCGTTGCGGATGAAAGGACGGATCCATACGTTGTGGCATGTCGCATGTGAGAGGGTCGTGTGCCACCGGAAGCGGCGGCTGCCGGGTTGTGGACGGTCAACCAGCGGGACAGCAGAAGCCCAGCGGTTGTGATCAAAGGACAAGCCCCCCCCATATAAAAGAAAAAAAACAAACAAATGCCTGACCGTACAGAATCAAAGACCTTGCGTCAGAAAGATGAAGGAAACGCGCTGGCCAAACACATTCGCAGTCATGTCGCTGGACGAGGACGCCCTCGACAGCAGGGAAGCTGCAGGGAAGCTGGCGCCGCCCGGCCGGCGCGGCGCGAGCGCCGACAAGCAGCCGCGCCCGTCACGTCAAGGGCGCCCCGCCGTCTCGCGTGCGTGCAGGAGGCGCCGCGCCCTGCCACCCGTGCTCAGGCGGCCGCCACTGGTGCCGCGGCGGCCGCGGCCTCGACGGCTTTGGTGGCCGGCTCTGGAGTGGAGAACTCCTGGCGCAGCGCGCGCACCGCGGCCGCCGCCTCGGCGCGCCGCTTGCGGTTGCCCCACCCCAGCTCAGAGGCCATGAGCTCTGCCACCTGTGGTGTGTCGGGGGGGGGGGGGGATGGAGCGTGTGCGGCCGGGCGAGGTTGGGGGGTTGGTAACATGAGTGCAGTACAGCTCTCATAAACATGCAAGAAGAGAGAAAATGATTAGGATCCACCAAACATATCCTCAGATACTGACTGCAGCAATGCTAACAGTCCAAGTCACATTCATTGCAACACAAACTCGTCAGAGTGTGAGTTGGGGTGACAGGGCGCACGAGACTTCAGCGCGCGATGAGTTCGACAGCCCGCGCTGTCCCCAAGCCCGACGCAACCGCGCAGCGCAGGAACATCTGCATTAAAGCCCCTCCGCCTAAGCGAGAGCGGCCGCGCGGGGGCCCCAGGCGGGCGTGCCCTTTTGGCGCCGCACCCTGGGGATGGCGCCCTCTGTGGCCGCGGCGTCCAGGAAGGCCATGCGCGTGCGCCGCATCACAAAGTCCTCCACCGTGACGCAGTACTCCTGGGGGGTGGTTTTTTGTGTGTGTGTGCGTGTGTGTGTGTTGGGGGGGGGGAGGAACCAGGATTTCAACGTTAAGAAGGTTTCGGTCAACCTTCAGCCATGTGGGCGGGGCCGTTTCGCTTCGCGGCTCTTGAGGGCGTGCGGGTGCGCAGGGGCCCGCAAAGGTACGCCCAGACCGCTGGTCTGAAGGGATCGGCCAGGACCAGACCCCAGGAAGCTGGGAAGAAGACACCAGCCGCAGCGGACCCTTTCTCCGTCGACCGGGCGAGCCGCACGCAGGCAGGGGCACAGGCGGCGCCGAGCCTCCTGTGCCCCC